CTATTTGTGTGCTTTCACACCACTGATACTCTTAAGAGTCCAGGACATTTATTTCACAAACCATTCTTCACTTCTGATTTGTCTTACTGTTACCTCATTATTAGATTGAAACTAAACATTTCCAGCCAGGGTGTTACATAGGTGATGAGGTGTTATTTTTAGTCATGTCCCATCTAAAGGGACAAAAATCAGTTTTCCCTTCATTAGTAATGTTGAACTTAATCATTTGGTTAAGGTGATTAAAGAATTTTAATTCTCAACAGTAAATAAATTCTCAACAGTAAATTCTCAACAGTAAATAAAACTCCCTCAATCCCCTTTGTAATTAATAAATATTCTGTAGGGCAATACTTCCAAACCACATCAATATTCTGTTCCCCAACAATCTTTCACCTAAATGTTTTAGAACTCATTGATGATTCCTGCCTAAATCACTTATTAGCATGGTGGTTGACCTTTCTAATATGAAGTCCTTCTACAAGTATTAACTGGGATCCTTCTGTAAAAGAGCTTTCTTTCCCCATTTTTAGTATCAGGATAGACTCACAGGTTTTTTTTTTTTTTTTAAGATTTTATTTCTTTATTTGTGAGAGAGAGAGTGTGTGTGCACACAAGCAGGGGAAGTGGCATATAGAGGGAGAAGCAGGCTCCCCACTGAGCAAGGAGCCCCATGCAGGACTTGATCCCAGAAACCTGGGATCATGACCTGAGCTGAAGGCAGATGCTTAACCAACTGAGCTACCCAGGCTTCACAGATTCTTTTTATTCAATATGTTAAAAGTATTTCCTTTCCTTAATTCATCTTGATCCTCAAACAGTACCAAATTTGGCTAAAGGAACCCCTACCTGAATATACTTCGGAAGTACAGCCAACAGAATTTACTGATGGAGTGACTATAGAGAATGAGATAAAAGAGAAAGCAGGCAAAAAATGTTAAAGTACCTCATTTAATAATGGAAGATGGAAATTCTATTAACTGATATGAAAGACTGCTGGCATAGAAGGTTCTGGGGGAAAATAACAGGAATTATATTTTAAATATGTTAAGTTTAAGATATCTATTATATATCCAAATAAAGATGCTGAGTTTGGAGTCAAAAAAAACATCTGAGCCAACCACTAGAATCTGAAAGTTGCTGGCATGTGGATGACATTTAAAGTCACAGAAAGGGAATATCAATAAGGAATTGAATGCAGATAAAGATAAGAAAAAGCCAAAACCATTCACTTTGTACTCAACCTAAGGAGGAAAAAGAGAAGAAGAGGAACTAATATATGAAATTGAGTCAGAGCAATCATTGAGGTAGAAGGAAAACTTAAGAGAGAAGTGGCCTGAAAATGAAGTGAAAAAAAATTACATAGGAAAAGGAAGTGATCAAATGCATCACATGACGGCAATAGATCACATAAGATGAAGACTGAGAAATCAATGTGATGTAGCAAGTCATTTAAGATGAGGTCTAAACATTCGCCCCTGGATTTCACAATGTGAAGACACATGTGCACTTAGTGAAAGCCGACTCAGTGTAATCACTGAGAGAAAATTCCGACTGAAGTGGATTCAACAAGAATGAAAGGAGAGAGAGGAGACAATGAGACTAGACAAATGAGGAATTTTACTATAAAACAAAGCAAAGAAATGGATGGCAATAAACATGGAAGCTAATAAGGCTTTCAGGGACCAAGAAAAGATTTAATATGAGAGAAATAACAGTATATTTTTATAGTATTGAGAATGATGTAGGAGAGAGTAAAATAAATTACTAATGTTGGAGAGGAAAGGAGTGATGGACCTGGAGCGATGACCCTGAAAAGGGAAAACAGAAAGCTATGTTGTGTTCAAACAGATGAATTAACTTTATAAAGCAGCATGGCTAAAGTAACCAACAATGACAGGAATGTATAATGGTACAAATGACAAGATGGCAAATGTAGTGATGGTAGTAATCTATGGAAGTTCTCTTCAATTTTCTCAGTGAAGAAGCAGGGTCATAAGTTGAGAATAAGGAAGGAGAAAGAAGTAGAGGTAGGACAGAAGAGAAAATAAGAAACAGTCTCCTAGTTGAGAAATCCTATTTTTTTTTTTGGCCAGCTGTTAAAATATCTATTTGCCATTATAAATGTGAATTGGCCTGAAATTCAGATAACCACATAGCTTCTCAAGATTCATATAATTTCTCAAAGTCCTTAATGCTCCATTAGATGTCTCATAAAGGCAATCATTTTAAAAAAGGAAGCTTAGAAAACTGTGTTTTAGACTAGCAGTTTTCTGAATTATAAATTTTATAAATTTCAGTATCTTTCAAAAAAGCAAATTCTTCAGGAAAAGCATCTCTATGAGAAAAACTTTTTAAAAATGAGTCCTTTGGGGCACCTGGGTGGCTCAGTGGGTTAAAGCCTCTGCCTTAGGCTCAGGTCATGATCTCAGGGTCCTGGGACTGAGCCCCGCATTGGAGTCTCTGCTCAATGGGGAGCCTGCTTCCCCGTCTCTCTCTGCCTGCCTCTCTGCCTACTTGTGATCTCTCTCTCTCCGTGTCATATAAATAAATAAAATCTTTTTTTAAAAAATGTGTTAAGCAGAAAAAAAGGAACGATGAAATATGGCATTTTAAACTAATTATATATTTACAACTATTATCACATAATTATTATTTTAACATATACACATACAGATGCAAGCTATTTTAAAAGCAAAGGGGGAAAAAACCTCCAAACTCTTAAAAGGACTTTGTATTTTAAAGAAAGAAATTTCAAATGAAAAGCAATGCATAAACCAAAGTTCACTGGGTAAAAACTCAATAAAAATATAGTTATCCCATACCATTTTTTAAGAGGTAAAATAAAGGGAAAAATGAAGAGGGCGATATTGGAGTGGTAGACAAACCATGAGAGACTATAGACTCCTCTGGGAAACAAAAGAAAGGTTTCAGAAGGGAGGGAGGTGGGGGGTATATGTGAGCCTGATGATGGGTATTAAGGAGGGTACGGACTGCATGAAACACTGGGTGTTATACGCAAACAATGAATCACAGAACACTACATCAAAAACCAATGATGTACTGTATGGCAATTAAGATGACACAGTAAAAATAAATAAATAAAAGGTAAAATAGATTACTATGATTGCTAAAACCATGAATATATATATAATTAGCAAGCCAATTCTATATATGCAAGTCTAAACCTATAAATAGCCGGTGAAGGATTCACCATCATCAGTTGAATTAACCCTTATTACCTCCTCAGACAAAATATGAACATTTTCTTTCCTTTCAATTTTATAATAATCATTGCCAAATGATGTTTTTATATATAATTTTTTTTAAAAGGTCATTGAAGGGTACTGTGTACCACATAAATAATCTTTTCCTTGTATTATACCCAGGTCAAATACTCATACCTTGTCCTTCTACTATTAAAGTTAAAATTATAAAAAATCCTTTTAATCTAACTAAGGCCACTAGTGCAACATTATTTCATAACTTCCTTCCTTGGGGAGTTGTGGTATATAGTTTACTGAAAAGTTTTCTAAGATATATATCTATTAAACCAAATTTCTGATTAAAATAATAATTTTGGGGGTGCTTGGGTGGCTCAGTAAGTTAAACATCTGACTCTTGATTTTGGCTCAGGTCATGATTTCATGGGTCATGAGATCAAGCCCTGCATGAGTGGGGAGGGAGGTCCCTGATCAATGGGGATCTGCTTGAGATTCTCTCCCTCTGCCTCTCTCCCCACATGCATGTGTGCCTTTTCTATTCTCTCTCTCAAAGAAATATAAATCTTTAAAAAAAAAAAAAAAAAACCTTTTATTTTTAGCATACTTTATAATACTTTAAACTAGCTTCTTAGTCATGTTATGTACTTGTCAATAAACATGGAATAGAATAGGCATGGATGGTTACAGAAAAATTTTATGAACTATGATTAAACCCATACATGCTACGGGCTATGGGAAAAGATCAACAGATTGATGGGGGTTCCTGGGTGGCTCAGTTTTTAAGCGTCTGCCTTCAACTCAGGTCATGATCCCAGGGTCCTGGGATCAAGCCCTGAGTCAGGCTCCGTGGGAAGCCTGCTTCTCTCTCTCCCATTCTCCCTGCTTGTGTTCCGTCTCTTACTGCGTCTCTGTCAAATAAATAAATAAAATCTTAAAAAAAAAAAAAAAGGTCAATTGATGATAGTACCAATGAGATTTTAAAGTCATGTTGGTGGTTCAGATGAAATATGGCTAAAATCATGCATTTTTCAAACTGGAATGGTAAAAGTATAAATGAGAAGGCATACCAACTCATGCATCATATTTTTCAATTAGGAATTTCTTATTTTTTGCCTCCAGCAACTTTTAAATCCTCACCAGATTTTGAGCACTTCTTAGTGCTATGGTCAGTATTTCCCTTTCATTCCTAGATACTGAATTAGAAAGAAGTATGATGGTAGCCCAGAAATTTACCTACATTCTATCTTTTTAACATCTTATTGGTTAAGAAAATAGAACTAGGTTAGAAATTTATTAATAATCTATTCTTTTAGCAGCAGAATATGAGCAGATGGGGGAACAGATATTCTAAACAGATAAAAAGTACACTGGGAAAGCACAAACCCCTGTGGACTAATTACTTTTCCAATTTTACAACTTATAGGACTAATAGCTTTTCCAATTTTACAACTAATGAATTACCTTAACCTTTTTGGAGGCTTCAATTTTGCTTATAGGAAATAAATGAGAAGAACTAGATTAGAAGATTTTTAAAGTCAACACTAACATACATAAACATCAAGTGACACTGTTTGCTAAGAGGCAATCACGACATAAAGTAACGGTAGAAGGGAAACTTCCTTTCTATTGTATATTCTCTAGACTTTGAGTATGTGCAAATATTGTATAGTCAATAATTACTAAAAAACCATAAAGTTCCTTCAATCTCTAAAAGTCTATTATAAGGAGACTCAAAAGTTTACGTACATAAATTCCTTAATTTGTATATTTTACTCATACCTTACTAAAGTTTGGAGGAGGGTTTTTGCCTCTACATAAATTTGAGAGGGCCCATACAGCATTTCTGGTTGTTGTAAGTCTGTTTGAATTTGTTAATAACCTGCCAAAAAAAAAAACAACAACAGAAAAGAAAAAGAAAAAAGAAAATTGTCACTTTACATTCATTTTTTCTCTTTAGCTATTTTATATCATAAAATATAAAAATTCTCAATATATTTATAACACAGTCAATGTGGTAAAGTAGGAAAAGGTAATTTAAAAAAATTATATATATATATATATATTTTATTTTTAAAATTCTGAATCTATGATCTGAATGGATCCTTACAAGACACAAAACATGTCCAAAATAAAGGGGGTCATGGAAAACTGATTTATTTCTATATACTTTATTTTTTTAAACCTTGACAGATTTATTGTTTTTAAGTCACAATATAAAGTAAGAGATAATATAATTTTGAATATGAAATCTTTACACTGGGACTTTTGAGAAGCAGAAAAGGGAATGGATTAAAGTCTTATCAAAAGTAGCCTAAACATTACAAATTAAGGCCAAATTATCTTAGTAAAAAAAAAAAAGATACAAAACATTGGGTTTGGTGCTTAATTAAAATTATTCGCTATACTTTAAAAAGAATATTATATTACATTGTTTTAAATGATGAAAATAATACATTTCAGGAAGTAAAGAATACAGGGTCAAACTGAATGAATATCAGCTACTGAGAAGAGGTGTTTGTTTTGAACAGATTGTCAGAATTTTCGATCTGCAACCTATTACAAGTATAGAGAAATTAGTTCTAAAAAAAAAAATCCCTATTCTGTAGTGAACGTGGCAAAAATGGTGGAGATGGTAACTCTGGCAGTCTGTCAACCCCCCAGAAACAACCAAAAAAACCCTGTAAACTTTGTCAGAATTGACTTTATCAGAACTCTCGAAGATAGTCAAAAGTTTATAGTAACCAAGAAAACTTTTAACTAGGAAAGGGCTGTGATGTGGTAGGAGAGATTTCAGGCAGTATAATTTACCCTTGGCCAACTCCCCCCCAAGTCTGGCATCAGTCTTAAAGAAGAAAGCTAGAATTCCCACTGTGGGTTCCTGGTTCCAAAAAGGAGCTAAGGACACTTGTTTCCAAGGAATTGTGTTTGTCTGTTTTGATCTGTGTGGGTGCTCTCTGATGGACTAATGCAAGGGGCCTGCCTTTGTTTTGTCTAACTGGGAACTCAATAAGATCAACAGATAAATTCTTATCAAAAACCATGAAGAAAAGAAGGCAATGAGATTATATTTAAACTGTTAAAAGAAAAAGCTGTCACTTAATATTTCTATATCCTACAAAACTATCCTTCAAAATATCAAAGAGAAAGCAAAAGATTCCTAGAACAAAAGCAGAAAAACTCATCACCAGTAGATCTGCTTTACAAGAGCAACTGAAAGGAATCCTTTTAGCTGAAGTGAAAGGACAATAAACAATAACTCAAAACCAGAAGAAAAAGAATACCACCAAAAATAACTATACAGATAAATCTAAAGGTGGTAATTTTGATTTGTAATTTTCTTTTTTTCTCTATGATTTAAACGACATACATAAAGCCGTAATTATAAATCTATCTTAACTGGCATACAATGTATAATGTTATTTTTGACAGTAACTTAAAGGTGGTAGAACAGAGATGTACAGGAGCAGAGTTTTTCCATAATATTGCAACTAAACTGGTATTAATTCAAACAAGATTACTGTAAGTTTAAGATGTTAACTGTACTCCCTGGACTAATCATTAAGAAAGTTAACTAAAAAATATACAGAAAAGGAAATGAGAAGGTAATCAATACCATATCTTACCCCAAAAAATCAAACACAAAAGAAGGCAATAAGGAATTAAGAAATGAAAAAGATATAAAACATAGGAAACAACAAAATGGCGGAAATCTTTCCTTGTATTTATACTGAATGTGAATGGATCAAATTCTTGGATTAAAAGGCAGGGAATGGCAGAATACATTTTTAAAAACCCCTAGATAAACAAACAACAATCGACAAGCCATCTATACTGTACTCTACATGACACTTCACTATTTTTTAAAGATTTATTTACTTTAGAGAGAGGGAAGAGAGCATGTGCAAGAGCAAGGGAGGTGTGGAGGGGAGAAGGAAAGAATCTCAAGCAGACTCCATGCAGAGCACAGAGCCCCAGGTGGGACTCAATCTCAGAACCCATGAGATCATGACCTGAACTGAAACCAGTAGTCAGACACTTAAACAACTGAGCCACCCAGGAGCCCCTACAAGATACTCACATTAGATTTGAAGACAAATAGGCTGAAAGTGAAAGGATGGAAAATGATATTCCATACAAATAATAACCCATAGTTATACTAATATCAGACAAATAGACTTCAAGTCAAAAATTATTTTAAAAGACGAAGAGGACATTATATATTGATAAAAAAGTCAACCCATCATGAAGCTCTAACACTCATAAACTTAGAAGGCATAACAACATAGCAAAATACACAAAGCAAAAACTGACAGACCTGAAGGGAGAAATACACAGTTATACAATCATAGTTAGAAACTTCAGTACATTGTTTTCAGTAATGGACAGAACACCTAGATAGAAGATCAGTAAGAAAAAAAGAGGACTTCAATAACATGATACACCAAGTAAACATAAAAGACACCTATACAACATTCAACTCAGCAACAGCAGAATATATATTCTTCTCAATTGCACATTAAACATTTTCCAGGATATACTGTATATTAGATGATAGAGCAAATCTGACAGACTAAAGTTACACGAAGTATCAACTCTGTCCACAGTGAAACTAAAAATCACTAATAGAAGAAAAACTGGAAAATTCAATATGCAGAAATTTAAAAAAACATAGTCTTAAGCAATCAATGGGTAAAAACAAAAAACAAAATGAGAAAATATTTTAAAATAAATAAGAATAAAATCAAACATACTTAAACTTAATGGGATACCGTGAAAGCAATGCTCAGAGAAAATTTTATAGCTATAAATACCTGCATTAAAGAAAGAAGATCTCAAATCAATTGCCTAAACTTCCACCTTAAGAAACTACATAAATCAGAGCAAACTAAACCCAAAGCTAGCAGAAGGAAGGAAATAATAAAGAGCAGAAGAGTAAATGAAATGAAATAAAGAGCAGAAAAATACTAGAGAATGAACTACCAAAAGTTGATTCTCTGAGGAAAAAATCAACAAAGTTAACACCTTTACCTAGACTGATAAAGGAAAAAAGACTCAAAATTAAGAATGGAAGTGGGGAGGGGCAGGTGCCTGGGTGACTCGGCTGAGCATCTGACTCTTGATTTTGGCAGAATTGAGCCCCTCATTGGGCCCTGCATTCAGTCTGCTTGTCCATTGCCTCCTGTTCCCCCTCTCCCCCACCAGAATAAGCACAGGTACACGTGTATGTTCACTCTCTCAAATGAATAAAATCTAAAAAAAAAAAAGAAAAAAAATATTAAAAAAAAATTAAAAGATGTGGGGCTATTACTACTGATATTCCAGAAATAAGAATATAAGTATAAAAGAATACTATGGGGGTGCCTGGGTGACTCATTCAGTTCAGTTAAGTATATGGCTTCAGCTCAGATCATGATCCCAGTGTCCTAGAATCAAGTCCCACATCAAGCTCCCTGTTCAGCAGAGAAGTCTGCCTCTCCCTCTCCACCTGCCTCTCCCCCACTCATGCTCCCTTCTTGCTCTCTGAAATAAATAAATAGAATCTTAAAAAAAAGGACTATGAGCAAGAGTAAGCCAACAAATTGAATAACCCAGAAGAAATGAACAATTAGAAATTATATATAAACTACCAAAATGATTCAAGAAGAAACAGAAAATCTAAATAGGCCTATAAGGATTAAAGATATTGATCAGTAATCAAAAACCTCATAATAAAGAAGAGTCCAGCACAAGATGGCTTCACTGGTGAATTCTACCAAACACAAGAAGAACTGAATCTTTCTCAAACTCTCCTGAGAAATAGAAGAGAACATTTCCTAACCTGTTTTATGAGCCAGCACTACCCTAATACCAAAGCCAAAGACATCACAAGTATAGACCAGTATTTCTAATAAATACACACGTAAAAATCTTCAACAGAATTCTAAGAAACTGAATCCAGCAATGGTTGTATACTATAACCTAATGGAATTTACCTAGCAAGGCAAAGATAGTTCAATGTACAAATAATAAATAATATACATTAACAGAATGAAGGTGGAAAAATGTGTGATCCTGTCAATTGATGCAGAAAAAGCATTTAAAAGAACCCAACACTCTTTCATAATAAAACACTCAACAAACTAGGAAAAGGAGCAAACTACCTCAACATGATAAAGAACATTTATGAAAAATCCACAGCTAACAACATACTCAATGGTGAAAGTGAAACCTTTTACTCAAATCAGAAACAAGACGCAGATATCTAATTTTCCCTGTTATGCAACACTGTACTAGAAGCTCTAGCTGGAGCAATTAGGCAAGAAAAAGAAATAAAGGTATCCAAATTAGAAAGCAATAACTGAAACTATTACTATTCACGGATGACATGATTTTATATAGAGAAATTTAAGAAAATCCACAATGAAACCCTATTAGTGTTAATGAATGAATTCAACAAAGGTGCAGGCTACAAGATTAAAGCACAAAAAGCAATTGTATGTCTATACACTACCACTGAACAAGTAAAAAAAAAAAAAATTTCATCTAAAATAGTGTCAAAAAGAATAAAATACTTAGGAATAAATTAACCAATTCTGTACACTGAAAACTAATTCATATGGAATAGCAAGGAGCCCTGAATAGATAAAACAATCTTTTTTTTAAAGATTTATTTATTTGAGAGAGAGAAAGAGAAAGCATGCACGAGCAGGGGGAGGGGCAAAGGAAGAGGGCAAGGGCTAGAGGGAAAGAATATCAAGCAGACTCCCACTGAGCACAGAGCCTGATGTGGGGCTTGATCTCACAACTCATTAGATCATGACCTGAGCTGAAATCAAGAGTCAGACACTTAACTGACTGAGCCACTCAGGTACCCCTAAATAGCTAAAACAATCTTGACCAAAAACAAATACAAAAACAAACAAAAAAACTGAAGGACTCACATGTTCTGATTTTAAAATTTATCACAAAGCTACTCTAACCAAAACAATATGGTACCACTCAATGAGTAAAGAATACTCTCTTCAACAAATTATGCTGTGATAAGTGAATGCCCTTGCATCATATAAAAAATTAACTCAAAATGCATCAAAGCTGTAAATATAAGAGCTAAGACTATAAGACTCTTTGAAGAAAACATAAGGACAAATATTCATGACTTTTGATTTGGCAACAGTTTCTCAAATACAACACCAAAAGAATAAGCAACAAAAGGAAAAAAATACACAAACTGCATTTCATCAAAATTAAAAACTTTGTGACTCAATGGACATTATCAAGAGTGAAACAACCCAGAAAATGCAAAAAAAAAAAACTGTAAATCATTAGTCTGATAAGAACGTATTCAGAAAATATGAAGAATTTTTACAACATAGCAACAAAAGATAAGTAACTGAATTAAAAATTATTCAAAAGACTTAACAGACATTTCTCAGAAAAAGATATAGATATAGTCAACAAACCCATGAAAAGATGTTCAATGCAAATCAAAGCAAAATGAGATACCATCTCACACCTACGAGGGTGGCTTAAATCAGAATAACAAGTCCTGGTGAGAACGTGGAGAAACTGAAACTCTCATACACTGCTGATGGGAATGTAAAATGCTGCTGCTGCTATGGAAAACAGATCCTAAAAAGTCAAAGATAGAGTTAGCATATGACCCAGCAATTCTCTTCATAGGTATATACCTAAAAAGAATTAAAAGCTATTTAAACAAAATCCTGTACATGAATGTTCAGAGGAATACTATTTAATCAACAGGTAGAAAATAAATGACCATCAACTGATGAATGGGTGCACAAAATAGGTACATCCATACAAGAGAATGTTATTCTGCTATAAAAATAAGAAGTACTGATACATGTTATACTATGGATGAACCTTGAAAACAATATGCTAAGTGAAAGAAGCCAGATATGAAAAGTCATACAATGTATGATTCCATTTATATGAAATATCCAGAATAGGCAAATCCACAGACAGCAGACTAGTGGTTTCCAAGGGCTGAGGCTAGAAGGAAATGGGACATGACAGCTTAATAGGTATTGGGATTTCTGTCTGGAACTAGATGGTGGTGATAGGTATAAAACACTGCCAGTGAACTGTACATTTTAAAATAGTTAAAATGATAAATTTTATGTTATGTATATTTTACATATATGAAAAAAAATCTGTTCTACAGGTTTTCCTACAGTCTTTGAAACCTCCGAAAACCATAACTCACTTAAAAATAAAATAATTACATTAACTTTCTATATCAGGAGTTGAAAAACTTTTTCAGTAAATATTTTAGGCTTTGCAGGTCTTTTTCTGTAGCAACTATTCAACTCTGCTGATGTAGCATGAAAGCAACCATAGATATTAAGTGAGCAAATGGGAGTGATTGTGCTCCAATAAAACTTAATTTACAAAACAGGAAGCAGGCCAGATTTGGCTTGAGGCCTGTAGTTGGCCAAGCTGTGTTGTATACTATTCTTTATCTATATTAATGAGGTTATTATAATCATTAAAGTCAAATTAAATTAAAACAGTAAATGTGTCAGTATATGAAACCCGCAGTAGTAAGATTTACATTTGCTAATTTATGTTTACTACAGTTAAGTTTACTGAGAATCAAATGGAAGTAGAATAAAATTAAAACTCAAACAGAATTGATAAAACCATACATTAATAGAAGTTTTACATTTACTTAAGCAATAGCTAAAACACAAATTTCAATGTGAACAACAGATAAACCATAATCTTAATAAAAGCCAATAACTTTCTTTCTTTTGCCCAACAAAAGTGAGTGTATCTGGTAGCTAGGTTGACATAAATTCTTTTTTGCTATTTTTCTCAATTTTTTAATGAAACTTTCAAACTTTCTAACTTTTTAAGCCTACTTATTTTCTGAAATTCATTATACTTATAACTAACACTACATAGCTGGGTACTTTTTCTCCATTAGAGCTTAGTTTTTAGTTTGGTTTCTTTGGTCATGATTAAAAGCTCCTTAGACCATTTAAAGGAATTAGACCTAAGAAATGTTTACTTACTAATTCAGAAATAATTAGCAACTTGAGATAGGAATAAGAAAATGAGACAGAGAGCAAAAGTAAAAAGAAACAAAGTGCTCAGTTAATCTATGAACCATATAATGAGGCCAGACAAATCTCAAATTGAAAATTTAAGATACTTTCAATAGTATGAATTTTTTTTTAAATTATGTTAGTCACTATACAGTATATCATAGTACATCATTAGTTTTTGATGCAGTGTTCCATGATTCATTGTTGCATATAACACCCAGTGCTCCATGCAATCCGTGCCCTCCTTAATACCCATCACCAGATTCACCCAGCCCCCTGTCCCCCTCCCTTCTAAAACCCTCAGTTTGTTTCCCAGAGTCCATAGTCTCTCACGGTTCGTCTTCCACTTCAATTTCCCCCCTTCATTTTTCCCTTCCTTCGCCTAATGTCCTCCATACTATTCCTTATGTTCCACAAATAAGTCAAACAATATAATTGACTTCTTCTGCTTGATTTATTTCACTCAGCATAATCTCCTCCAGTCCCATCCATGTTGATGCAAAAGTTGGGTATTCATCCTTTCTGATGGCTGAGTAATAGTCCATTGTGTATATGGACCACATCAGGGAAATTCAAATCAAAACCACATTGAGATACTACCTTACACCAGTTAGAATGGCAAAAATAGTATGAATTTCAAAATAACCCTGATATTGAACTCTAAATCAGTATTTTCCTTTTATAGCTCAGCTAAATTCTTAAATACTTTGGAACATTAACTTTGAATAAGACCAAAGTTAGAGTAAGTGGTTCAGTGCCCTGTACATAGTTAAGTATTCAATGTTTGTTGATTGAAACACTGTGAAATCACTCTGTCCATGGAAAGTTACTCTCTCTAAAAGAATAAAATACCTTTTGCAAGCTAATAACTAAAAATTTATTCTTCCTTTCAATTCTTTAGTTTGGAGAGGATGGCTAATAGCACAGAAACAATAAAATTTTTTCCTTTTACCATCTCCTCAATTACTTTTTTCTTTTTCACTACATGCCAGTGGCATCTAGCCTAAAAAAAAAAGACCCTCTTAGTGAATGATAACCAAGATGAATAAAGGAATCTACCTTTGAAATAATTTTATGTAATTTCTGTAAAGGTCCCTTACATTATAGGGTAATTTCTTTTTTAAAAATATATAATGTATTTTAAAAAGAAACTCCTAAATAAATCATTTAATTCTAATTCCAAAAGAAAAATCTCTTATGATCTTTGTTCTCTGAACATTTCCATATCAAATATAAAAACCTGATATCCTAAATATATCCTCTGTTCTTGTACTAAAGATTTCCTCCTTTAGCAAAACTTAAATTTTTATTGTACTAAAAACTACCACATATCCTTATTTTGTAGAATTATTACTTCAGCATAGTAAGCATCAAGCACACAATAAATACTATTAAGTATGGCTTAAGAAAATATAAAGAACAAAACAAAACCAGAAAATTTCTTGGTTTGCTTTTGCTATTGCTCTTGCAGAAATAGCTAAACATACCCCAAATTTAAAAGCATCACCGAAGAACGTAATTGTGTATGTAGAAATACAGTGCAGGATAATTTTCTTTTCCAAAACTAGTATTAATTTAATTGTGATAAAGTACTTACTCTAAAAGAGGTGGAAGTATTTCACAATTCAAAACAAAATCTCTGCATTCTGCATTGTCACCAGCAATATTACCAAGTGCCCAAACAGCCTTAGAAAAATGAGAAAAAAATATTCTGTTACAATATCTTAAATAAGATGCTCTCTCTTAAGAATGAGATTTTAGTACAGAATGAACAAAGTAACAGTTTCCAAGATGTTAAAAAAAAATGCTAGTAGGACAGTAAAGAAAGTTTAAAAGTACCATTTACTAATATTTTTAATCAACTGAAGGATAGGGCATTAACATTTTTAACATTAGACATGGTGAAATGTTTATTCTGTTCAACAAAGATGATAGTCTGTCTACTCCGAATCTACATGGAGAGACAAAATATATCAATTTAGTGAATTTTGCAATTACCTATACTAGAAGTTTGTTCCTATGCCAAGGACTCCACTCACTGGGAAGGGATTGATTTATAAAAGAAGGGAAGGAGAGACAAAATATAGAGAAGTGAAGTAAAGCTACTAAGAGAATTAGCTTGGATTGATCTCTGAAAATAAGCTTAGAATTAGTCCAGGTTCATTATAATTTTTTAAATAATTTAAGTAAAAGATCAAATTATTCACTTTTTAAATTTCAATTAAATGACAAATTATGCAAATGCAAATCATCATTTCATTATATTCTCACTTCACATTTTTCAAATACGTGCAAAAGTAGACATAAGTTACTTTTTCAACTGGGAAAATTTTAACATTTAAAACATGTGTTAGTATTTTTAATATCTACCCTAGGCCTAAGTTTATTTCCTATTTTTTAAGAAAAATCTTTTACAAGACATGTGTCTGAACCAAATAACCCATAGAGCCACCTTAAGAAAATCTTTTGAAGTAATGACATTTTTCACCCTGTGAAGTCTAATACTGGTGGGGAAATTATTATGTATAGTTTCTTTGGAGGTCAACTTTGAAATACATGATTTAGAACTTGAAAAATTTTTCTTTTACCAGGGTTAAGTCATTTTTCCTAATGAAATAATCAAGATATACATACAGATTGATAATGATGTTTATCATATTAATACGCCAGAAATTACTCTAATATATAACTGAGAAACAGACACAAATTATGGTTCATACCTGACTAGATAATGAGTAATCAGGAAAATTTTCTTGGAAGATTAATGCCATTAGAAAAGGCTACAAATATCAATTAAGTGGGGAAAAAACCAACCCGTGTGTGTGTGTGTGTGTGTGTGTGTGTGTGTATACATATATATGTACATATATAAAAACTAAACAGATGGGATGGTAGATCAACAGATCAATTTGTCCTAAAAATAGTTCAAAACAAAAACATTTATTTTCTTTCATTGGTACAAAGTAAATGTGATTAAATTTTCCCTCTTATAACAACTGTGAGAATTTATGATGTCTATTTAAAAAGTTACATTAGGGGGGCGCCTGGGTGGCTCAGTGGGGTAAAGCCTCTGCCTTTGGCTCAGGTCATGATTCCAGGGTCCTGGGATTGAGTTCCGCATCGGGCTCTCTGCTTAGTGGGAAGCCTGCTTCCCTTCCTCTCTCTCTGCCTTACTCTCTGCTTACTTGTAATCCCTGTCTGTCAAATAAATAAATAAAATCTTTTAAAAAATAAATAAATAAATAAAAATTAAAGAAAATAAAAAGTCACTTTAGGGATCAGGAGGGAGACAAACCATAAGAGACTCTTAATCTCACAAAACAAACTGAGGGTTGCTTGGGGGGAGGAAGGGTATGGAAAGGGAGGCTGGGTTATGGACATTGGGGAGGGTGTGTGATATGGTGAGTGCTCTGTGAAATGTGTAAGCCTGACGATTCACAGAAATGTAGCCCTAGGGCAATAATACCTTATATGCTAATAAAAATAATTTAAAAAAATAAAAATAAATAAAAGAGCAAATTGACTAATGGCTTAAAAAATTTTGATATTTTAGAAAGCAGTAACAAAATAATCTATGTACATGCAAAGAATAAGGAGTCAGACCAGCCCAGGTTTAAAATTTAGTTCAGCCATTCACTGTGACTAAGTAGATTACTAACTTTTCTGAGTCTCAGTATGCTTTTTTATATAGTATGCTTTTTCTGATACCTGACATCATACCTACAGGGAACCCAGGATTATGCCTGAGACAGTGCATTCTGGCTTCCTTCTAATTTGACACTGAAGAGAAATTACTGTATTTTAACAAATGCAATGCACATGCAACTTTCAAGAGAACATTAAAATCTAGTAAATATAACCATTCAGATTAGAAACATACCTGCTCTTGCACATCTTCATGCTCTGAATTAAGAAGTTTGATAAAAATTGGAACAGCCCCAGTTTCAATCACTACCTTGGTATGCAGAAAAGTTCCAGATGCTATATTAGTTAATGCCCATGCAGCTTCAAACTAAGGAAAATCAAAGGTAGAATAAATGAAAGCACCAAAGAAATGTCAGAAAAAAAGGGAAGAAGAGAGGGAGTAAAGAGTTAGATGGACAAGTCTTTAAAGACTGATTTATTATTAATAAGATTAATCAGATTTCATAAATAAAAACCCTTGGTTTTAAAAAAAGGACTCAATCTGGAAAAACAAAACTGAGAATGTAATGAAAGTTTTCAAAATCATGAAAAATAAATGAACACATCTGAAGTTGTATTTCACAGAACTCCTAATGCTTACTATTTAGAGAGCCAGGAGTCCTAAAGCAAGCAGTTTAAAAATAATGAGACACTACTTAAAAGAGCAACAGTGCATTTATGGAACTTAGAATCTTAAAAGGTACTTTTGTTTCCTTAGGGATGGATCACCTAGTTCCAACCTCATTTAAGAAATTAATTAGAGAGACTTAGATGATTTGTTCAAAGAATTCACTATTAGCAGAGCCACAGGCAGGACTTGTATTCCTGTAAGCAGCAGAACCTCTGAAAAGTCATTCATATCAATTCCACTTAAATCTGAATATACTTAATTGTGATGGATTTGTAATAGAAGAAACAGAAAATTCAACCCATGGCTCCCAAACAGTAAACTAGCAAAGTACTGAAAATGATCTATAAATCCACAGGCAAACTAAAGAGTGACCATAACTTCAAAAATATTTGGCACAGACAACTTTTCACATGAAAGGTACATATCACTATGATTAATAAAATAAAATTTTATTATTTTAATTTTGTTATTTTAATAAATAAATATTTTAAATAAAAATACAAAAATAAATGTATTAAAAATAAAATTTATAAAAAGTAAATTAAAACAATATTTTAATTTTGTAATACAATGCCTTACACACAATATATGGCTAAAACTAACACTCGATTTTATTTGTATTTACTCATTTCCTCTTTCATTCATTCATAACTAAAAAGTCAAATAATTAAGTATCAGGAGGCTTGGGTTTTAGTCTGGACTTGAGGCTTAAATAGAAAGCAAATGAACTAAAAATCATGACCTGTAGTCCTTACAGACTACACCTAAAGACCTTGAAAACTAATGGACAGTATTACTATATATAACACAAAGTGGATTTTTCCTCAGACATCCTTATTGTAAACACTCTCAAAATTTTTCAGCATAAAAATCATGATAGATAATATTCATGTGTGTAAAACATTTCTTTGCTTCTTATCTAAAGTGTGAGGAGCTTTCCCAAATTACTCAAATAAGTGGAACACTATTTGTAATTTCAACACTAGTTTTAATTTCAACAACTATTACTCAAATACCAGCAACAATCTTCCATTACTGACAATAGCACTGGTAAACTAGGTGCAGCTCCTGTGCAATTCCTGATAGATATAATTCCACATTGTATTCCTACTTAAGAATATACATAGCAATGAAATCAGGAAAAGCAATCTTTCTTTAAAAAAAAAAAAAGAAACAGTAAAATATTTGCAAAATTCAGTAATTTATTATTAGCAGCCAATTATTTGGAAGACATCTTACAGGGGTCATTACAGTATAGCTGAGAAGCAATGCTCATTTGGACAAACCTAACTTTGGTCACATTTTAGTTGATTTTACTGATTTTTTTTTTTAAAGCTAATCATATAAAAATGTTTTAAAAGGTAAAAGAGTTTATACTAAAAAGTTACAACCCTTATTAGCTAAGAGCCAAAAAAAAATTTACCCATTAACATTTTAATTTGAGGTTTTCTAAAATGAAAAAGTTATTAAAGTTTGACAACTACAAAATTTTTATGAACATTATGAATGATTTTATATAGTTTTCCCAAAATTGTTTTAATGAAACAGTTCCTACAAAAAACTAGCATTGCAAACATGACTAAGGCAAGACGAATGGCACTACCTTTTCCTTTAATTGCCAAGTATTTCCTGAATGCTTACAGTATATTTAGTACTGTAGAAGTTCACTAGAAACTTTAATCATATGTTATTTCTGGAAAGAGATTAAGAAAGAAAACTTTAGAACCCACCTGTAAAGTACAATTTTCATTTCTTTCAAGAAATTTCACAAATCTCTGTACAACTCCTGGTTTCTGTATAACCTGATCAATTGGTGGATTAGGTTCTAAAAATTAAAAAAGAATTAAGTTATTTATAGGCACAGAAAGATAATAACCTGATCCCTGTGTCAATTAACAGGATGCACAAAATAATTCTTTCCTAGGTTTCACTGACCAAGTTTAAAAGCCTCAGGTGAGTTTAACTGAAGTAAACAAATATTCTCAAAAATGCAGTCCTTACTGGAAAGCAAATTCTTTTTCATTAATCATAGTACAAAAAATTTTAAAATACTGCCTACACAAATATTTAGTACTTTAAGTTGAAGGATATTTAGGTCATCTTCACAACATGGAGTATTTCAGTCTAATACTCAAAACACCAACTGATAGATAATCTTCCCCCTAATCCTGTATAAGAATACCTCATTTTCCATAGATGTCTCCTTCCCTATCAACCATTATCTAATGCTTCTCAACTAAATGATATTCTATTCTGTGAGGGTATCATTCATTATTCACAGAAAACCTACTGGACTATGTAGGATTCTTCATAAATTTTCATGAAATGCAGAGGGCTTTTGAGAATCATAAAATCTCTAGGAAATTTTAAACCAAAGATAAGCAAAATTTTAAAACAAAGATATGCAAAATTAAAACCAAGATATTTCAGCTACTGACAACCTAAGTACCAACAACTCTTCCTTCTCCCTTGGCTTCAACAAAAAGTATGCTCTTGTGGTTCTCTAGGATATTCTGTTAGTGTTCCATATTTATATAACAAAAAGGATAAAAAAAGACCTCCTTTAGGATTCCCTGGATGGCTCAGTCAGTTGAGCAAGTGACTCGATCTCGGGGTTGTGAGTTCAAGCCCCACATTGGGCATGGAGTCTACTTAAAATAAACAAATACACTTTATAAAAAAATAGATCTTCCTTACAAGTATATTTTCAAGAAAAATTAAGACCTACTGACTTACTGACAATGATGATGTCTTAAAATAAAAAATATTTAATAAATAAAACTCTCAGAACCTTTTAATATCAAATAAGCATACTTGAAAATAATTCTTGCCTTTGGAAAGCAGCTTTCTAAATTTCTGTGTTGCTGTTAGCTGTTGATCAGCATTGTTAGAAAAAATCATCTGTACCATATCTGTGGTGATAACTTCTTCCTAAAAACAGAAAATATAACTTAACACTTAATATTTTGCATGAATAACTGTTGTATGAAATACTGTTGAAGTATAATTTGAAATACATTTTTGTAATATCTACCTCTGGAATGGGGACAGTGGAACTGATATCTGGATCCTGGATAGGACTTTCTAGCATAGACTCATCGTTTCTGGGCAAAGAGACATTTCTGCGTTTGAACAACTGTAATAAAGAGAAATCACTTTATACACTGGGCTTTTCATAAAACACTGAATTCCCATAGAATTATATTTTTCATTTATGTGAACAAAACAAAATGATCATTTAAAATTCTACATACTTACTATTTCTCAATCACTATACCATGAAGATCTACATTATCTTTGAGAAGTTAAACTCTCCTGACTTGGTTAGCTCTTACCAGCAGACCACTTTGGGTCAATTCTTAATCTCAGGTCTTTTACCAATGGCCGGTCCCATAAGTAGAGTACACATTTACTTTTAATAGAATTTGAAAAAGTACATATGCTCACAGTGGTATATGAGATGTCTAAGAATTTTTCAAAGAAAATCTTAATAAAAAAGCAAATTAGTTATATGGGAGAAATATTGTGGTATATTAACAAATTACAGATTAATAAGGAGCAGAGAACATCTCTGAGGAAATATGGCCCTATCCTTTTTATTTCAGGAATGAATAAAAATTAAAAAAAAAAAAGAGAGAGAGAGAGGAGGAGTGAAGCACAATAACATCACTGAGGGGAATTTATGGATACATTTTCTACATCAAAATAGAGAAGAAAAAAAATCTGGTATATTCTTTCTGATAGCTAAAGAAATACTGCTCTTCTTCAAACAGTATACAATTCCTTCTAATCATTCATCCAACAGATTTTTTGAGTCCTTAATGTAATAAAGTAGGGAATGTACTAGATACTATAGATAGGAAGATGACAAATCATATTTCTAAAACAGGCCTTTCTCTACTTTCATCATTGCTAGTACTTTCTACACATTAGTTTTTAATTTGTGTGTGTGAGGACTATACCCTCTTAATATAAATACTTCTAAATTTAAGTGTATCTTGGAATGAAAAATGTTGAGATATACTCTTTTAAAGGATTTTTCTATTCCTTATGTCACATACACGAAGTTCAAAACAGAAGGCTAAGTGAGCTAGCTGGCTAAACTATAGAAGGAACAGTATGAGTAGCATAGGTAGAGGACTGTAATTAACTTAGGAGCAAGAACTATGGGAACCCACAAAGCAACAAATAAATATTATGGTTTTTTGGGGGGGAGTGGGCAAATCTGGTAGTGACAAATGGAAGTGATCTAAATAGGCTTAAGAGTAAAAATTTCTTAACACTGGGATAAAATATGATTAAGATAAAAGGCTTATCAATAAAACAGAAAAGCTATTCCTCTCAGTGATTAAAAACAGCACAGGATTCTGATTCATGAAGTATTCCTGGAGTCTAATAAAGAATAGATTGATATTCAATTTCCTAAAGATACTTTATCATTTTAAATTATCTAAAAATAAGCAATGATAATGTAACTTCTAAAATCTATATAATGATGTGTCTGTGTTAAATAGATTTAAATATTTTAAAACACCCACCTGCTCTTCCCTTTTTTGTTTTCGAAGCTGTATTCCTTCTTCCTCTCTTCGTCTACGCATTTCTTGGGGATTTAGGGCTTTATTCTTGTAACTTTTCATTCTATAGTTATCTTTCCCTGGACTAGCCATTGCATCTTGAGGTTAGGAGAGAAGAAAACAGATATTGATAATTCTCAAAACAACATGAGATGTTTACTAGAAAAACTAAGTTCATGCTTACTGCTTAAACAGATTGCCAAAATTGATTCTGAAAATTATGTACAAAGAATACATTCCCTCATTCCCACATCAATATTAGAATGAAGTAACCAAATTTTTGGACTAAATTATCAAACAAATGATAGATTTTGGTTTAAACACAGATAAAGTCATTATCCCAATTTCATTAGGATGCATTTTAAGATGCACTCCCCAATGCCTGGAGTTTTAACCTTTCGGAAGAGGGATGCATCTTAAAATCACTGTCTGCCAGGATATAATCAATCATGAAGTAGTTGGGTAAAAAACTTTTAAATTACAGCTCTTGGCAAGATCAAAAGATAGCCAGAGTGAGTGAAGTTATGTCTATTTTCAATGGAATATATTATTAGGCTTCAATTAAGCATCCCTCAAATATTTTGGGGGGTCTGGTTTCTTTCATTTACTTAAGGTGCTGTCTTCAGAACTAAGGTTGCATGGCTCATGACTTCAGTCATGACTGCAATACTAATTTGCAATACTAGGGTATAATTACTTCTTTTTAAATACTGAAATATTGGGGCACCTGGGTGGCTCATTGGTTAAAGCCTCTGCCTTCAGCTCAGGTCATGGTCTCAGGGTCCTGGGATCGAGCCCCGCATCAGGCTCTCTGCTCAGCGGGGAGCCTGCTTCCTCCTCTCTCCCTACCTGCCTCTCTGACTACTTGTGATCTCTGTCTATCAAATAAATAAATAAAATCTTAAAAAAAAAATAAATACTGAAATACTTGTATACTTTATTTTTAAGTAGTTTTATTATAAATGTATTTGAAAGCATTAATATTTATGTAAACACATTCTTACAAGCATATTTACAATATTTTACATAACACTTTACATTTAAAATAATGTAATTTTACTTTTAGAAACCAGAGAGAGTGTTGTGATCAATTAATACTTATGAAGTAAAAAGAAGAAAAGGAAAGGCTGGCATTTATCTGCCATCTCTGATGTCGAAGACAGACTAATGAACTGGTAAATTATACTGTAAGTAGTAAAGTACACTAAAACATATGCATTAAATCCTGTGAGAGCACAGAAGACACAGCAACTAACTGTGCTTTAGGGAGTTCTGAAAGTTATCTTAAAAGAGCAAGAATTTATCAGGGAAGAGGATGAAAAGGAAAAATGGGGAAGGAATAAGCATCTCAAGCAGAGGACTATATGCCAAGGCAAAGAGTTCTTGCAGAAGACTGGCACCAACACAAAACAGTAAGAGACTAAGTGTGCCTAAAGATTTGTGGGAGAAAACACAGGAGATAAAGCTAGAAAGGTAACTAAGAACACATGGTTCGTGCAATGAGGTTGAGAAATTTGGACATGATCCTAAGCAACAACTGAAATAAAGAGAAGACTGTCTCAAACTTTAATGAAGATCTGAACTAAATTAGCAGCTACACTGGAAATATAGAAGACTGGTTGATTTCAGAAACATTGCAGAAATTGATTTAATAAGAATTAGAGACCAAATCAATGTAAGGAAAATGTGGTGAAGAAGAAAAAAGAGTTTAGGGCTCCTGGGTGTCTCAATTAAGCTTCTGCCTTCGGGTCAGGTCATGATCCCAGGGATCAAGGACAACATCGGGCTCCCTGCTCAGCTGGAAGCCTGCTTCTCCCTCTCCTACTCCCCCTGCTTGTGTTCTCTGTGTGTGTGTGTGTGTGTCTGTCAAATAAATAAATAAATAATCTAAAAAAAAAAAAAAAGAAAAGAAAAGAAAAGAAAAAGAAAAAGGAGTTTATGATGACTCCAAGGTTTTTATAGCTTGATCTATTTCAGTACAGTAACAAAATAAGCCAAGACAAAGAATAAAGACGGAGTATCAAAGTGATGGTTTTGTTTGGTTGCCTCCTTGTTTTTGAGATGAAAACAATGAATTGTTTTATTTTTAAAAATTTTAAAGACCTTATTTATTTATTTCTCAGAGAGAGAGAGAGAGAGAGAGAGGGAAAGAAAGAGAGAGTGACAGGCAGAGAGAGAAGCAGGCTCCTCACTGAGCAAGGAGCCAGATGCAGGACTTTATCCCAGGACCCTGGGGTCTTGACCTGAGCCAGGAAGGCAGCCGCTTAACTGACTGAGCCACCCAGGAGGCCCTATTTTTCAATTTATATTTAAATTATATACAGCAAAGAAAGAAAAAAAATCACTCTTTTGGTATAAAGTTCTATGAATGTGACAAATGCACAGGCATAAAACTTTCACAATCAAGACACAGCTCCATGACCCCTAAAAAATGTGGTCATGCTGCTCCTATTAATCCCTCTCCCACCCTTAATGCCTGGTAACCACTGATTGGTTCTCTATCTTCATAGTTCTGACCTTTCCTGAATTTCACATAAATGGAATAGTAACAGTATATAGTCTTAAACTGGCTACTTTTATTTAGCATAGTGTTATTTGTGAGATCCATACTGTTGGCATGCATTGGTAATTTATTCCTTCTTATTGTTGAGTAGTATTCTATTGCATAGATATGCCACAGTTTGTCCATTCATTAGTTGAAGGACATTTAGGTTGCTTCTAGCTTAGCGCAGTTGTGAATAAGCCTGTTATAAATATTCATGCACAGGTTTTTGTGTAAATATAAGTTTTCATTTGTCTTGGGTAAATATCTAGAATTAGGACTGATGGATAATATGGCAAGTGTATGCTTCACATTTTATAAGAAGCTGCCAAACTGCAAAGTATTCCATCAGCAATGTATAAGACTTCCTGTTGCTCTATGCTCTGCCAACACTTGGTATTGTCAGATTTTGCTGGTAATTGTAGCCATTCTAATAGATGTATAGTATCTTTCATTTTAAACGTATTATACTTATATAATACTTAGGGCACACACAGGAGATTAAGACCTATAGATGGTTAAAAGTATGGGTCAAGGGGTGGCTCCGTCGGTTAAGCCTTTGGCTAGGATCATGATCCCAGGTCCTGGGATGAAGCCCCATGTCGGGCTCTCTACTCAGTGAGTAGCCTGCTTCTTCCTCTTCCTCTGCCTGCAACTCCCCCTGCCAGGGCTCTCTCTCTGTCAAATAAAATAAAGTCTTAAAAAAAAAGTATGGGTCAAAACTCAGGAAGAGTCCTAACTGAGCTAGGGGAGAAATTTCTAGAACATTTGTTTACATTTGAGTGGGAAAAGGAAAGAGCAACGGAAACCAAAAAGAAGTAGGTCAGCTAATCAGAAGTAAGAGTCATGAAAGAGAAAGGAATTCAAAAGACAAGGAGTATTTCATTTGTAGTAGCACTAAAAATAAGCCACTCAATTTATTCATCCACTGATTCATCCAGCAAATATAAGTGCCTACAATAAGCCAAGTACCACATGAGGCATAAGACTGGATAATTAGGTCACTGGTAAAGATAGGGAGAAAAATTTCATTAGTGGTAGAGCTAAAAGTAGAATGGAATAGGCTGAACCCTTCAGAATTATTTAAAAAGTACTTTGTGCCTTTGAACCTAACACATGCACATTCTAGCAATTTAAGTATACTTATAATATGCTTATTATATTTATATATTTAAAATATACTTATTTATAATATTTATTATAATTATAATATTTATAATATCCTTAAAGTATTCAATGAATTGATCAACAATACTGGGTAGACCTACAAATACTTACCATTAGAAACAGCTTAATCTTAAAAAAATAAATAGCTTAATCAAACTTTATTAATAACAATGTTCAGCATTATTCCCTAAGTATTTCATATATAAAAATTCTGTCTCATTAATAACAACTTATGCTCTAGGAAGGGAATAACAGAGATGAGTTCATTGCAGAGCAAATTGAATTATGCTCCATAAGTATAAAATATTCTAGCAAAATGAAATGTTTACAGCAATAAACCTCTTAATACTTACCACTTACATTAGACTTTTTGAGGCCATTGGCCTCTAACCGTTTTTGTTTTGTTTTAAGATTTTATTCACTTATTTGACAAAGGAGAGAGAGGGACCACAAGCAGGGGGAGTGGGAGAAGGAGAAGGAGGTTTCCTGTCAAGCAGGGAGCCAGATGCAGGGATCCATCCCAAGACCCTGGGATCATGACCCAAGCCAAAGGCAGATGCTTAACAACTAAGCCACCCAGGTGCCCCTCTCTAACCATTTGTGATCACACATCCTCACATGTGCAAAATTTATTTCTGCATTCATCCTCAATTTTTATTTATATGTAAGTATTACTAGCATAATAATCTAACCCATTATAAAATTAAAGGAGGGCACCTGTTGTGATGAGCACTGGATGTTACATGTAACTAATGAATCGTTGAACACTACCTCAAAAACTAATGATGTACTGTAATCTGGCTAATTGAACAAAGTAACAATAAATTAATTAAATAGAAAATTTTTAGGAAGGAATAGTTTTAAAAGGTAAAGAAACAAGTTCTAATACTTTCCCCCCATATCTGATTCAATTACCTGTGCCTCCACAACCTACACACTAGATACTTCTTTTAAAACCATTAATTTAGGTGACCACATTAAAACCTTTAATATAAATATGTCAACCAAATAAAATCTACTCTGAACAGCTCATATATCATTTGTCCTTTTTCTGATGTCGTACTAACTTCTTATTTAATAACACCTGCAATCCTCACTGCAGTTGCCTTAAAGCAGACATAAAGACCAAGAAAAATCATCTCTAAAGGTGCCTGACCCAACAGGATTGTTCCCTTTTCTGAAAAATAACTTTAAAGGCTGTATTTCAAAGGTTGCCATCTCATACAAGTTATTTTAAATATAAGAAATACTATTCAGATGCTTTGATTCCCCAACAAGGGTTGGGTTGGTTGGTTGTTTTCAGTCACAAGCTTATTTTTCACTCAGCTCTTTGAAAAACTGTTTTGAGGCTGGGAGACTAACTGGATTTGAACTTTTTTTAGTACCTATTAACGGAATTTCTTGTGCCCCGAAGTCTCCATTTCTACGGTTTGGGTTCCTATTAGTAACATCATAACATCGGTACAAAAGGGTAAGTGTGCTGAGTGAGCCCTTAGTACTTAAAGACAGAAAGGACAGAGCTGTTTCTTGTTTACCAAGGAAGAAAGTCGCTCTCCTACAGAATATGAATCCTAAGTGTTGTAATTAAGAGACATCAAGTCAGAGGTTTGTTTTTAAAAAAATGTTTTAAAAGCCAAAGAGTAAATGCTGATGTCGTATATTTTTGAAGTATCACTATCCCGCTTCACAGCTTTCGAATCCTTTATCTCTTATGCATTACCGCGGAAACACTAAATTTTCATCTTGGAAGGGAGCAGACAGGTTATTAACCCACCCCTGCCGACGTCCACACAGCCCTCCGAGGCACCTGCATCCAGGTGGAGGAGGACAGAGGGCGACCGCGACGGTGCGACAAGTAGCCCTCCCCGCCCCCAGCCCCAGAGCCACCCCTGCCGTATTCTGGAAACTGGAACTAATACGCTGCTGCTGGGCTCACACAGACGCTGAGACCCAGGAGTGAAGGGGAACGACTGACAAGCCCGTGTACCGGGAACAGGAACTACCAAGGCACGGAGAAGCCGAACCGCAGGAGGATGAGCCTCGGCCGTTTAAGGATCCCTCCGAAGGCCAGCCTGGATGCCTGCGAGGATCTGTATTCCCCGCACCTTCGAGTCAGTAAGGAATAGGTCCGGCTGCCACGCCCCCGCCACCGCGGTCTCCCTCGGGAACCTGAGGGAAAAAACCCGGCAGCATGGCCTGGTCCTCAAGCTTTCGCAGAGAAGGGGTAAATAAAAACAGTGGCCCCTGAAACCAGTAACTCCCAAAGGGACCAAGCCCGAGGTTCACCCAAACTGGCCTGGTCACTCCCACTTACCCATTAATGTGGCAGTACCCGATGCCTTAACTTCCCAGTTCCCGGCTGCTGCGTCCGCTGCAGGTAACAGTAGGGTCGCCACTCCGCCCCTAGCGTTGAACGTAGCGACAAGGTTCGCAGCTCAAGATGGCGGCTACCTGCGCCCCTTCCCCGAGACCCCGAGGCTCGGCTCCCAGAAGCCCTTGCATGCGGCGACCGCAGTGGTGGCGGCGGCAGCTGCACCCGCGGGTAGAGGGGCGGAGAGCAGCGAGCGTCGCAGCTCCACCCACCGAAGGAGGAGGAGCCGGCTCCTGCACTACTCCGGAATTTTAATTCCGCGCCGGCGCCGTACCGGCCGTGTGTCAGACTGCCCTCTGTGCTAGTCCTCTGTGCGAGCTCTCATTCATTCACTCATTCGTTGGTTTAGTTTGTTTATTCATTCATTCATCCTACAAGATAGTATTGATGGAAGGTCTGATCTGTGCTAGACACTGTTTTAGATATTAGAGCTGCTATAGCATACACAACGGAAAAATTCCAACCTCGTGGAGCTTTACAGAGGCTCTTCTTCAGCTGCATTAATCTCTTCCTGTATGTCCTGCTCATTCATTTCAAGCTTTGGAATTTGCCATTTATTTAAAATTTGGATTCTATAACATCTGTGGATTTCTAACAAAAAGGTAGTCATTGATATGTGAAATAAATAATTCCAAATAAGGAATTCTAAATTATTATAACACACATAAGCTTTGTAATCCATCTTGGAGTTCAACAAACAGCACTGAAGAGAGACTATCTTCTAGAATATAGAAGATAAATAATACGTGATTCCTGCCCTGAGGAAGATCCTGTTTTTTATCTCTTGTTCTTTTTGTTTTCTGAGAAATTTCTTAGGTTATATACCAGCTCTGGATTAGATAGATAGATAGATTGATTGATAGATTCTGCTGTTGTATTTTTTTAAATTTTGCTGTTGTATTTTTAATCCCAAGAGCTATTTCTTATTTTTGATTCAGGAATTAAATCTTTTTTCTAATATCTCTCTGAAGATATTATGGTTTCCTCTAAGTATTTTTTTTTCTTCCTCCGTTCATAGTCTCTGATTCTTTAGAGTGTTTTTCCTTTTTGATCATTTTGACTTTCGTCTTTCTTGCCACAGCCATACTCTAATGCCCAGTGATCCTTGAGTATCCATTCATATTTAAGACTGAGACACTAAAGAAAACTATTGTAAACTTGTGTATCTGCTGACTGTTTACTTGCCAGCTGTTGTTTCATTGGAGGACTTTCTAAAAGTCTTTATCTGTAGGTCCTTTCTCTCTGACCAATAATTTGCCCTGGGGAGGAATTTTCTAATCTCCTGACATCAGAATGTGAGGGGGGGTGTGTGGTTAGCCTCATAATTCAGTATTTAGTTTGCACTATTCCACACTTATATTCCAACACCTTGACTCTCCCTCTCCTCAACTCTAAGCTGTGCATTTCTGACTTAGTAGTCTTTTCGATTAATTTTCTTTATGAAACCAAACCTATAGTCTTCTATCTTGGAAGGAAAGATCAGTCACTTGGCAAGCTGGTAATGAGGAAATCTGGAGGTAGGGTGCTAACTGCTCCTTATTGAGACTTTTATGCAAAGTGTTCCTCTTTTCAGGCCCAATTTTAATATGTTTTTTAGAAGCATATGGTCTTTAATTTTTGAACATTTCCAGAATTCTGATAAACTGATTTATTTTTGTTGACTTCTCTTAGCCAAGTTAGTTACTACTCATCCATCCTTTTTCTAGCTTTCAAATGTTATTAAAATCTCATTAGCATTTATTTTTATTATTTTTATTCTGTCATTTTAGTAGATTTTGAGAGGCAGGGAATATAGATGTACATGTTCAGTCTGCTGCGTTGAACCACAAAACCCCAAATATACTGTACATTATCAAATTATGCCACTCTCTTGTTTAAATATTCCAATAGTTCTCTATAAGAGTCTACATGATTTGGCCCCTGTCTTGACATACCGTGGCAGTTAGGCCCTAGGGTATTGTGTACTCGTGTAATGTCCTAGCTTCCGTCGTAGGAATTCATTCTGAAAATTCTCAGAGCCTTGTGTGTCTCCTAGTAAATTAGGAGTCAGCACCTGGAATCGATAATGCAAAAAAGACTACGACTCCCAGAAAACACTACAACACAGATTAGCGTGGAGCAGTGCATGCTGGGAGCCTTTTCCTTCCGGGGGTACAGAAGAAAAACGTTTTTGAATGTGAGAATGGAAGTGAAAGTATTTTGGAGGCGCTGGTTTGTTTCTTGGGGTGAACTGTGACTCTCAGGGTGTAGAGAGGGCCTGTGCGTTCTAGTCTGCCGAGCCGGGAAAGGTAATCGACGTTGAACGTCTCTCTGCGGGAGAGCCAGACGGTGTCGGCAGCCGACCCGAAGAGGAAGCCCAGGATAATCAGGCAGTGTGGCCGCGGCCGGATCTTTGGGCCGGTAGGAACTAATGGTCCCTTCCCATATTTCCCCGGCCTCGACTATGACCCAGTCAGTGTCTGGGCCGGTTTCGGGTCCTGGAAGTTTGTGCGGACTCTTGGGCAGAGTGGGCCTTTGGCATGCGGCCCTTACGGCTTCTCTCACCGCCTGCTCAGCCTGGCACCTATCACAGTTTCCTTATATCTCTCAACCACTTGTTCTGATCGGAGTGTTTGGGAGTTCGAGCGTATCCCTCTGTCTAGCCCCGGGGAAAATAAGAAACTGGGTGTGACGTTCTTTCCACTGGTGGTTTGGGAGAGTTTCCTTCTAAAATCAGAAACTATTTTCACTTGTTTAAAGAGGATAAGAAACATAAAGGACAATGTAGGAAGTTCTTATAAAGGTAAATTTATTCAAATAATGGGAATGGTTTCCTACCCCCCCCCCCGCCGTTTGTTTTTGAATAGTCCTTAGCTGAACAACATAAGAAGGTTGTGGCTGTGATTGATTTTAAAAATTCTTAATAAAATCAGCTTTTGTCCGTACCCAGTACTTCTATTAGTCCATAAAACCCTAAAGTGATTGCTGGCTTAGTACAATTCATTTTATACACCGATTTTTATAGACCGATCCTCAAAGACATGAGCTATCTTACGTAAATTCTGAAATGTGAGATTACATTCCATTTCTCTTCGTTCTGGAATCCGTGCTCTTTGCTACCATGGACGCTCTTTTTATTCTTTGGGTTGAGAGGACAGTGTTTGGAGCCTGACTGGGTTAGCATTTGGCTCACCATTTTCTGACCTCGGTGACCTATCTGAGCGAGGGTTTCCTCCATATAGGAGGATAATAATGCGACTTAAATTACTTTGATATAGCTAAAGCTCTTTAACTGTTAACTTATTTTATTAAGATGTGTTTATTTACCCTCTCCATTGTTAACATCTTTAAGTTTCTGTATTTAGATAGATCAGTTGTTAAGATTTCTTTTAGTTTTCTCTTAACTGACTTACCATACTTGGGCAATTTTATAAACATTATTTTCTTCTCGACCTCACACCAGACATGCTTTTTGAAATATATTTAAAATTATTTATTTTAATTTGAACTATTATTGCCTTTATTTTATTGAAACCATAAATTCAAAATACAGTAGAGAAATTTTGGTTGAGATTTATAATGAAGTTTGTACATTTGAGGAACATTTAGTACATTGAAAGTATCTTCAAATAATCCAGTTTTAAATAGATACTTGTTAAAAATTTGTTTCAGATCATCTTATAGAATGCATTTTTTTCTCCAGTCTTTCAAACTTAAAATAACATTGTATTCTTTTCTAGCTACCTGATGTACTATGCTTTCTTGTGATATTTGTGGTGAAACAGTAACCTCAGAACCAGACATGAAGGCTCACCTGCTAATTGTTCACATGGAAAATGAAGTTATATGTCCATTTTGCAAGTTGTCAGGTGTGAATTATGATGAAATGTGTTTTCATATTGAAACTGCTCATTTTGAGCAAAATGAACTAGAAAGAAGCTTTGCGAGGATCAATACAATACAGATTAGAACTTCAGATAACAGGAAGGACAACACCTTACAGTGTAGAATGGAAGTTAATTCTAGTGTCCATTCAGCTTGTGCATCTAATCATCCAAAAATTTCAGCACAAAGCCTGCCTAATGATGGTACTTTAAAACATAAAACCTTTTATTCGGAGAACTTAACTGAATCCAGAAAATTCCTTAAAAGTAAGGAAAAAGAGTGTGATCCATCTAAAATAAAAGGATCAATTTATGAAACAACGTATAGTTCTCCCGAATGTCCGTTCTGCGGAAGAATAGAAGATTGTAGTCAAGATATGGAAAATCATGTGAAAACAAAGCATGCTGATCTTTTAGACACTCCATCAGAAGGTAAGATACTCATTTTATGTGATAATTAACAGTAGTGTAAGTTTAATATGTGGTGTCCTAAAAGTTGGTTTGTAAATCAGATTACTGCAAATGTGTTTTTTATTTTTTTATTTTTATTTTTTTTAATTTATTTTTTTCAGTGTTCCAAGACTCATTGTTTATGCATCACACCCAGTGCTCTATGTAATACGTGGGCTCTTTAAAACCCACCACCAAGCTCACCCAACCCCCCCCCATTACCCTCCCCTCCAAAACCCTCAGTTTGTTTCTCAGAGCCCACAGTCTCTCATGGTTTGTCTCCCCCTACGATTTCCCCCAACTCTCTTCTCTCCTCCCAATGTCCTCCGTATTATTCCTTATGCTCCATAAGTAAGTGAAACCATATGATAATTGACTCTCTCTGCTTGACTTATTTCACTCAGCATAATCTCCTCCAGTCCCATCCATGCTGATACAAAAGTTGGGTATTCACGTCAAAAAAATGGGCAGAAGACATGAACAGACACTTATCCAAAGAAGACATACAAATGCCTAATAGACACATGAAAAAATGTTCATCATCTTTAGTCATCAGGGAGATTCAAATCAAAACCACACTGAGATACCACCTTACACCAGTTAGAATGGCCAAAATTAACAAGATAGTAAACAACAAGTGTTGGAGAGGGTGTGGAGAAAGGGGAAAACTCTTACACTGTAGGTAGGAATGCAGGTTGGTGCAACCACTTTGGAAAACAGTGTGGAGATTCCTTAAGAAATTAAAAATAGAGCTACCCTATGACCTTGCAATTGCACTGCTAGGTATTTACCCCAGATGTAGTGAACAAAAGGACCATATGTATCCCAGTGTTCATAGTAGCAGTGGCCACAGTCACCAAACTGGATAGAACCAAGATGCCCTTCAGCAGATGAACAGATAAAGAAGATATGGTCTATATATACAGTGGAATATTATGCCTCCAGCAAATGTGTTTTTTAAATTCAGTTTATAACATTGTTCATTTACTATTATTATAAAAATGCAGTTGTGGAAAAGAATTTTTGATTCAGTTAATAAATAATTCAACTACTTTGAGAGTAGTTTTAGAACCTTTCTGAGGAGGACTATACTCAGAGTCCGTTTTTCAGAGGGCATTCTTTTACCACCAGCCCAATGGCATCTGAACTGTCTTGGACTCTGATTTTCTGTGGTTCTGAGTTTGACTCCCCTATGATCAGAGAACACACTCTGATTTTAGTTCTTTTAAATGTGTTGAAACTTGTTTTATCTGCCAAGATACTGTATATGATCTGTCTTGGTACATATTCCATGGACACTTGGGAAAGAGAGATATATTCTGCTATTATTGGGTTGACTGTTCTAAATTTGTCATTTAGATCATTTTGTTTGTATTCAGGTCTTCAATATCCTTTCTGATTTCCTGTCTAGCATTTCTACCAGTTTTTGAAAGGCGGTTGTTGAAGTCCACAATTATAATTACATATTCGTCTATTTTCCCTTTCAGCTCTATCAGGCTATATTTTATGAATTTGGAGGCTCGGTTTTTCTTGCATACAGTTCATTTAGAATCATCTCTTTTTCTTTATTATTTAGTTTTAAGAGTAATTTTTTTATTTTGGATATGTGTTTTTTATCAGATATGTGTTTTGCAGATATTTCTCTCAGTTTGGAGCTTGTCTTTTCATTCTCTTCACAGTGTTTTTCACAGAGCAGAAGTTTTAACTTTTAATAAAGTGCTACTTACTTGATTTCTTCATCCATGGATTATGCTTTTGATATATCTAAAAACTCATCACCAAACCCAAGCTCATCTTTCTTGTGTTATCTTCTAGAACGTTTATAGTTTTGAATTTTACATTTAAGTCTGTGATTCATTTGAGTTAATTTTTTAAAAGGTATAAGGAGAGTGCCTAGATTCATTTTTTTAATTAATAAATGTTATTTTTTAGAGCCGTTTCAGGTTCATAGCAAAGTTAAGTAAAAAGTACAGAAAATACCCATGTACCTACTGTCCTCATATACTAAAAACCTCCTCCACAATCAATATCTGTACCATGTGATACATTTGTTATATTCAGTGAACCTACACTGACCCATTATTATCACCCAAAGTCTATAGTTTCCATTAAGATTCATTCTTGGTGTTGTATATTCTACAGATTTTGGCAAATGTGTAATAACAACTACCCATCATATTAGTTATGCAGAATAGTCTCACTTCCCTAAAAATCCTCTGTGCTCCACCTAGTCACCCCTCCCACACCCTAACCCCTGGCAACACAGATCTTTCTACTACTACGATTTTTGCCTTTTTCAGAAAGTCATTGGAATCATGCAGTATATAGCTTTTTCAAATTGATTTCTTTTACTTAGTAATACGCATTTAAGCTTTTCTTCATGTCTTTTCATGGCTTGATAGATTTATTTATTTATTTATTTTTTTTTTTTTTAAGAGCTGAGTAATATTATATTGCCTGGATATACCACAGTATATTTATCCATTCACCTATGAAAAACATCTTGCTTGTTTCCAAGTTTTGGTAGTTAGGAATAAAGCTGCTTTAAATATCCACATGCAGGTTTTTATATGGACAGATTTTCGATTCATTTGGGTAAATACCAAGGAATGTGATAAATGGATTGTATAATAATAGTGTGTTTAATTTTAGTAAGAAACTGCCAGACTCTTTCAGAGTAGCAGTGAATGAGATTTCCTGTTGCTCCACATCCTCACCAGCATTTGGTACTGTCAGCATTCCAGATTGTGACCGTTCTAATATTTGTGTTGTGGTGTCTTATCTTAATTTTATTTGAAGTGCTCTCTCATAACATGAATATCTTTTTGTATACTTAATTGCCATCTGTATATCTTCTTTGGTAAAGTGTCTGTGAAGGTCTTCAGCCCATATTTTAAATCTGTTGATTTCTTATTGTTGTTTCTTATTGTTGATTTTTAAGAGTTCTTTGTATATTTTGGATAACATCTTTAGTACATGTATCTTTTGCAAATATTTTTTCTCATTCTGTGACTTGTCTTCTTCACTTTGACAATGTCTTTCGGTGAACAGAAGTTTTTTATTTTAATGAGGTCCACCTTATCACTTATTTTGTAACTTCACCAAGCCTTTGGTGTTGTCTTGGCCATATCCTAAGTCATCTAAGTTTTCTCCTATGTTATCTCCTAGGAATTTTGTGGTTTCTCATTTTATGTTTAGGCCTATGATCATTTTCAAGTTACTTTTTGTGAAGGGTATAAGGTCTGAGTTTAGATTCATTTTCTTTACATTTTGATGTCCACGTGTTCCATTGTTGATAAGATTTTCTTTCCTCCATAGTTTTGCCTTTGCTTTGTCAAAGATTTAGTCGACTAGACTCTTAGTCCATTTCTGGGCTCTATGGTCTGTTCCATTGATCTGTTTGTTCTTTTTTCAATACCACAGTGTCTTGATACTCTAACTTTATAGTAAGTATTGAAGTACGGTAGAGCCAGTCCTTTGAATTTGCTCTTTTTCAATATTGTGTTGGTTATTCTGAATCTTTTGCCTCTTTGTATAAATTTTAGAGTCAGTTACTTGATAGCCACAAAAAAAACTTGCTGAGATTTTTTATTGGGATTGTCTGGAACCTATAGATCAACTTGGGAAACATAGACATGGTAGCATTATTGAGTCTTCCTATCATAAACAAGAAATACCTCTCAACTTAGTTTTTCTTTGATTTCTTTCATCAGAATTTTGTATTTTTTCTCATGTGTATTTTGTTATATATTTCATTAGGTTTTTGCCTTTTTTTTTTTTTTTTGGTATTAATTTGCCTAATCGTGTCTTTCAAGGAATGGTCCTTTTCATCTAGTTTATAAATTTATGGCATAGTTCGTAATATAACTTTCTTATCTTCAGAATGTACATAGGACTTGTGATATCCCCTTTTTTATTTCTGGTGTTAACAATCTGTGTTCCCTTTTTTTCTTCTTAATTAGCTTGGCGAGAGGCTTTGGTTTCATTGGTTTTCTCTGTTGGTTATTTGTTTTCAGTTTCATTGATTTCTGCTCTTTTTTTTTTTTTAAATGTCTTCTTCTTATCTTGGATTTAACGTGTTCTTTTTTTTTCTAGTTTCCTTCAGTGGAAACCTAGATTGATCTTTCTTCTTTTCTTATGTATGTATTCAATGTTGTAAATTTCCTTCTAAGCCATGCTTTTGCTGCATTTCACAAATTTTAAGTAGTATTTTAATTTTCATTTAGTTCAAAATATTTTAAAATTTCCCTTGAGATTTCTTTGGTATATTATTTAAATGTTTATCTAATCTCCGGGTATTTGGGGGATTTTTCAGCTCTCTCTCTTAATTTTTGTTTGTTTCCTTTGTAGTTTGAGAGCAGACATTGTTTGATTTTAATTCCTTACATTTCCTAAGTTTTGATGGCCTAGATTATGTTTGATGACCTAGAATGTGGTCTGTCTTGGTGAATATTTTATATGAGCTTAAGCAGAATGTATATTCTGCTGTTGTTGGGTGAACTTATCTATAAGTATATTCAGTTGATTGATGGTACTTGAGTTCAACTATATCCTTACTTATTTTCTGCCTCCTAGATTTGTCCATTTCTAAAAAAGGAGTGCTAAAATTTCTCTTAACCATGTAATAGCAGATTCATCTGTTTCTTCTTACAGTTCTGTTAATTTTTGTCTCACATATTTTGACACTCTGTTAGGCCCATACACATTAGGGATTTTTATGTCTTCTTGCAATATTGAACCCTTTGTCATTATGTAATGCCCCTCTTAATCCTGGATAACATTCCTTGTTCTGAAATCTGCCCTCTCTGAAAATAATATAGCTACTCCCGGTTCTTTGTTTGTTTGGTTTTGGTTAGTGTTAGCATGGTGTGTCTTTCTTTATCCCTTCACTTTTAACATACATATATATATATATCTATAGAGAGAGAGAGAGAGAGATAAAATTTGTTTTATTTATGTATTTATTTGGGGGGTTGAATAGG